AGTCGGCCGCTGTGCATTATAATTTCATCTGGTCGAGTTGGTGTTCACGAGGACGACGGGGTTGTAAAAGAATAAATCGCTAAAAATAAATGGAACCGGGTACGTCTACCGAACCGAGCCGCACAGGGGGAACACGTTAATCCGGTTCCCGCGGCGGACGGTCGTGATTGACTTTTTGGCGCCGGCCGGTTCCCCGAAGCCCGATGATCCGCCGCCGGTCGGATACAAAGTTCTATTTTCTGCCGAATTCAGCGACGAGGAAACTTCTTTCGCGCTTTATTTATAGATTAATCGTCAGAACGTGTCCGGATGCACCGCGACAGAAAGCTGCAACAATTTTCGGTAGCAACGAACTCTTCGAGCAACCGCGCGAACCAATAAGCGACTCGGACGCTCGACTTCGCTCAGGAATGTTCGAGTCCTCGCCGAATCGTGGAACGAGAGATCGACCCTCGCGTTATCGGGGTTGCCGCGAGGTCTTAATCGAGTTTATGTGGACAATTATTTCATGCTCGCGCCGATGCGGCTGCTTCGCGACTTCGCGATGTGGAGCGACCTTTATTGTCTCGTTAATGGGCAGAGGATTCTCTGCGTCCGCGGCGAGACGGGGACGGTAGGATCGACGAAGGAATGTAGAAATATAATAGATTTCGATAGATTATAATAGACTTCAGCCTGCAATTATGGGATAGCAATACAGTAATAATTGACGCTCAGATTGTCCACAAAAATGGACAATTTCGAAAGAGGAGGCTCGTTTTTATAGTTGTTGACAATCGGTTCCAAAATTATTGTATAAGCGGGAAACGATGGGTTCCTGAGGTGATTTGAAGCAACTTTTTCCTTAGCGAAAATGCGATCCGCGGTTTCGTTAACGAGTTATTAACGAAAAACAGCGACCAATGAGACGCGAGCTACGCCTCGGCGCGAAGCGGCTGAGCCAATCAGCCGAACCGCGCTTCGACCGTTCGTTGGCTTGGCCGTCTCGCGCGAGCTAATCTCGCCTCTCATTGGTCACCGTTTCTCGTTGATAACTCGTAAACGAAGCCGCGGATCGCATTTTCGCTAAGGAAAAAGTTGCTTCGAATCACCTCAGGAAACTCTCATTTTCAGCTTGTACAATAATTTTGGGACACCCAGTATAAAAACGAGCCGCAAGGCTCGAATAATCGTATCTCCTCTTCCCAAGTTGTCCATTTTTGTGCACAAGCTGAGCGTTAATTAGAGAGAATTTACCGTATCGTGATGTTGTTGTCGATTTATTAAGATTATTGAAAAATCGAACAGTTTTCTGTTTAACTCGCATTTCTTGCAATGAACGCGGATTATTTGACATGAAATCTTGTTCTTATACTAATTCGATCGATATGATTATTAAACGTCAGTTGTTATTTCATTAGATATTGCATATTTACGAATTAGTAAATGCAAGTAAATTTACATTGCAGCATTGAAACTTTAAAAAATTGCAAACTTGACGAGTTCATAGAGGATTGCACGAATTCTTGAATAATTAATTAAATAATTGTTAAATAATAACAGTAATAAATCTAATATAATAGAAATAAAAATATAATATAATAATACTGTTAAATAATCGTTTAAAGTTGCCGCGGCCATCACAATCCGATTAAGCAATAATTACATTCGTTACAAGACTCTCTTATCCGAAGGTTTATTTTCGCAATATCTTGATATCAAAGCATTCTATTATCTAAAAACGTCATTCAATTTGTCTATTAGGCGATAATGTATCTAAATAATACATAACGATTAGATAATAGAAATATATATATAGATAATAGAAATATCGTATAAATAAATGTTCCGATAACGAAGTCTCTGTTGTACTTGAAAATTAATCCGGAACACCCTGTACGCGTCTCCGGTGGCGCAAGTTTATTTATCGAGATCGTTCGTGCACGTTTTTATGAAGTGAGCCCGCGATCTCTCGAGATGTATATTTGCTTTCTTCGTAAGGAAACATTTTCGGTGTACACATTCACCCGCGGAATGGTGCTTTCAGCGTTAATGTTTGATATTACGAACGATCGAACGTAATGATTGATGGCCGTGCAAATTCGCGTAAAGAAGCTAAAAGCTATCGTTCGCGGTTTAACGATAGAACTGCCGAATCCTAAACGCGACTAATATGTAGTATTGTTTCATAGCAATGCCAAGACTGGATTCATTTATATTTCGTATAATTTATATTATATTTATTATTATTATTATATATATATTTTTATAATGTAATATTATGCATTATACTTAATAATATATATTATTATATATTAATAATAATAAAATTAATAGTAATATATATTATTATTATATATTAATATATATTAATAATAATAAAATTAATATTAATTATATATTATTTCATATAATAATATTAATATTATATTTAATATTATGATTTATATTATATTTATTATTATATACATATATTTTTATAATTTATACATATTTAATATTATGATTTATATTATATTTATTATTATTATTATTCATATTATATTTATTATTATATACATTTTTATTATTTATATATATTTATTATATTATCAATAGAGGAGCGTACCCAAAAATTTCTCCGAGAAATATTTTCACAACATCGGGAACTGTAAAAGAAAAAAACCAGGAGCCAGTCATTTTGATTTGTTTGGTAGTTCTGGCGTCAAGGTCTCTCGTCGCAGGCCTATTGTTTTTGTGTACCAATAGGAAACTGAAACAATACTGTGGCTTATATCTCGACAAAGGAGACTTCACGTAATTCATTCATTGTGACAACTGCCCACTCCGTAACAATTGCTCCAAAATGGCAGCAGGGTGTTCTCGTATTCTCAAACAATAGATTACAACGTTGAGTCTCAATTTCTTTCTAAGCCGAATAGGGACAAGTACGCGACAAACGTGCGTCAAGTACCAATCTTGATTGTGCAAAAAAGGTTGTATCCTTTTAGAAAACAGAGCTCCCAACCGCGTTTAAGCAGTCCACGATGATGTTTATCGTTATACATCCTCTTACGAAGGCGAGATCAAGCGGAAACTTATGGCTAATAAAAGCTGAAAATAGAAAGATCAGGTTGTCCCCAAAGTTCTTTCATCCAAAAATGCACGATCATCCGTTGTCAATGTTTTGTCACTGTAACCGTAAGCTTTGAACTCTCGTTGTACGCACCAATCGGGAACGAACCGAACTTTCGGAACAACCTAATGACCACTTGCTTCTTTCTCTTTTACGATGCATTCCACCCTCTTAAGGTGAAAGTACCTATTATGAATCACCGCTTCAATTTAACCCCTTCTCGGAACGGTGGTACAAACAATGCGATAGAAAGTAGGTAAAGCATACGAAAGTGGATGTAAAAGTTCTATGTATATTTTTCGACGTTGTTTTCTTTTTTATAAATTCCCTGGGACGAATACTTTTATGCAACGATCACAGCTGTAGAAAGAAATGTAAGCAAGAACGATAGAAATCATAGAATTTTTGAAACGGTGTTCCATAATAGGTACAATGCTCGCACTACACTCTTTTCCTCGTATCACTTTTTATTCACGTTATCAGGCCGAGTCATAAATAACTTCCGGCTCAGCTGGATAGAATCTTTCTCTCAGAGTTTCTTTCTTTCGCTAAACAGACGATGGTTCGAAATAAATAAAATAAAGGAAAACAAAAAAGATAAATACAAAAAGAAGAAAAAAACGGAAGTTATTTACGACTCGACCTACTAAATAAATATTCCATAGTCGTTACGTTATCTAGAAACATCGATCGAATATTCAACACTTTTCATTCGAGTGAAAATCGACGACGATCTTATACCCCCCCTCGAGAATCGTTCCGTAATAGGTACTTTTAGCTTGTTCTACGATCGGCGCGAGTGGCTTGAACGCGAAGCCCGCAGAAGTCTGCTCGACGGAGTCTCGGCCCTCGGGTTAAGTCGCGCATTATCGCAGATCCGTTTTCTGCGTACACGGTGCCCCAAAAAATGTTTCGCAATCCGAAAGTAGGGGATTCCTGAGATGATTTGAAGCAACTTTTTCCTTAGCGAAAATGCAATCCGCGGCTTCGTTTACGAGTTATCAACGAAAAAGCGTGACCAATCCAGAGGCGAGATCATTTGGCGCGAGACGGATGAGCCAATGCAGCGGAACTGGGCTCCGCGCGCTCGTTGGCTGGGCCGCCGCGCGCCAGCCGAGCTCGCCTCTTATTGGCCAGTGTTTCTTCGTTAATAACTCGTAAACGAAGCGTCGAAGAAAATTCTCGCAAAGGAAAAAGTTGCTTCGAACGACCTCAGGAACCTCCCATTTCCGGATTGCGAGACATTTTCGGGGCACCCTGTATATTGCTCGAAATAGAGAGAGGATCGAGATCGACCGAGAGCCGATGGGGCTGCGTGTATCTAAGTGAAGCCACGGCTTTCTGGCTCGCGTTCCGAGCCAGTTGAGAAACGGATCTAGCGCAGCCGGTTAGGGATGATGAACTGCATGCTCTAGCGCCCGTGAAAAATACCGGACCGGCCCGCAATTATCTCGCTACCCTGTCACACCGTTGGTATGCCCCTCTTGACGTGTGCTCGTANGCCGAGCTCGCCTCTTATTGGCCAGTGTTTCTTCGTTAATAACTCGTAAACGAAGCGTCGAAGAAAATTCTCGCAAAGGAAAAAGTTGCTTCGAACGACCTCAGGAACCTCCCATTTCCGGATTGCGAGACATTTTCGGGGCACCCTGTATATTGCTCGAAATAGAGAGAGGATCGAGATCGACCGAGAGCCGATGGGGCTGCGTGTATCTAAGTGAAGCCACGGCTTTCTGGCTCGCGTTCCGAGCCAGTTGAGAAACGGATCTAGCGCAGCCGGTTAGGGATGATGAACTGCATGCTCTAGCGCCCGTGAAAAATACCGGACCGGCCCGCAATTATCTCGCTACCCTGTCACACCGTTGGTATGCCCCTCTTGACGTGTGCTCGTATGTTCTTCCCGATAAAGTAACCTACACGGGGGTGTCGGACGTGCGCGAGGGCCTATCTTGGTCGATCGAGTGCAGTGGCCTGAAGCCGGACGATCTGATCAGATGGACCAGAAACGGGCAGTCGCTCGAGCCGGAGTTGGCCAGTGGTCAGTTGGTCGTCACTTCGCCGCCGGGCACGGGAAGCAGCACGCTAAAGGCGTTACACGCCACCGACAGCCACGACGGGGACTACAAATGCACCCCCGACAACAACGAGGCCTTCCATCTCTGGATATACTTTGGTTCGTATGCCGAGACCCGTCGGCCATCTTTACGCAACAAACCCGCCTCTGCAGCCGCTCCGTTCGCCTCGCCCCCTCGCTTTGGCAATCGCGCATTTCCTAATCGTTCTGACGCGATAACCGCTTGCTCCTCGCGACTTCAACCGGCGAGGTAGCTTTCAATTCTTGTTTTTTTTTTCTTTTTTTTTGTAACCTTCGGACGCGTTCTTTATTCGCAGAGATCGTTCGAAATTCGGGAAAATCGCGTACGTAACCGTCCCATCCCTCTGGTCGCGCGACGTTACGCTGTTACGTTAGCAAGGTGTTCGGTCGTTGCCGTTGATTACAATTGATTACGATGCTTCTTTAACCGTTTGAGTCCCAAGCAGCGCGATCGCGCTGTTGAGATTTTCTGTCGAGAAAACCCAGCGCATTTCGAAGATTGTGGAGAACCGACGGTGCGTTACCGATTGTCGAAGCGCGCTCGCTCATAATGATGCGATAATAAGCAATATAGTAATGTCTCCCTTACCGACGCTCAGATTGACCACTAAAATGGACGATTTCGGAAGAGGAGATACGATTATACGAGCCGTGCGGCTCGTTTTTATAATTGTGGACAATTTACAACTATAAGAATAAACCGCAAGGCTCGAATAATCGTATCTCCTCTTCCCAAATTGTCCATTTTTGTGCGCAATCAGGGCGTCGATTAGAAAGACATTACTGTATTTCTGCGCGGCGATAATTTCGTTCCATCCGTGATTTGCGAACGCGCGTTATTGTGTCCTTTACAGTAATGCCAGAAACACCGACATCTTCGCGAGTTGGCACGCGAAGACGAATCGCTTAGCTGACGCGAATCCGCTACGGCGATATCCGATAAATGCGGGTTCTTTATTGAACGATTCGGTGACATCGTTTCTGTTTCCGCAGCAACGATCCCACGATTATCTCTTATTAATTGTTCGAGTCCCAAGCAGCGCGACCGCGCTGTTGAGATTTTCTGTCGAGAAAACCCAGCGCATTTCGAACATTGTGGACAACCGACGATGCGTTACCGATTGTCGAAGCGCGCTCGGATTTACCGAAGCAAGTACATCGCGCAGCTCCTTTTAATGTAAATAGTACATTTTACGATAGGTAGAATAATACTATAATAATGCAATAATACATTACAAAATAAAAATTTTTAATTCATTATTATCGCGCCGGTTGGTATTTCTGTTGGTATGAAATAAAACAAGCGCTGTCGCGCTGCTTGGGTCTTTTCGTACTCGTTTAGAGAAAGCGCGGTTGCGCTGTTTGGGATTATTCGACGGTGTTTTTTCGATACCCCCTGCGACTCAAACGGTTAATAATACTGTTGTTTATTGATACGTATGTTCTTTAATATTTATCGTCAATTTTTTAATGCACTTTGAATTGGTCAATTCGAGAAACCGCGTTAGTCGAATTCGTTGCGTTACGTAATCGCTTTTTCGGGGAAACGGCGGTCCAGGTTTTTGATCATGAACCCCCAGTTATGGCAAAAGGGACTTCCATGTACAGCAATGTCTCCCTAACTGACGCTCTCAGATTGTACACAAAAATGAACAATTTGGGAAGAAGAGACACGATTATTCGAGCCATTTTATAGTCGTTGACAGTTCGTAACTATAAAAACGAACCGAAAGGCTCAAATAATCGCATCTCCTTTTCCCAAATTGTCCATCTTTGAGGACAAACCGAGCGTCAATTATAGAGACATTACTGTACACCGTTGTTGTTTCTCGAGGAACGTAGTTTTTGTTCGTGTATAGCAACGAGATGTCTCTTCAACGCATTGTTGACCGACAATTTTGCAACGTCCGAGCCTAAAAGCAGGATCGTTAACTCGTGAACGATCATCGATGCGTCAAGGAGCAGCTTCTGGCATTTCTGTCGAGTATTCAGTTACGACTGAACACCTTGACGCCCGATTTTACGATCGGACAAATTCTCTAGCAAAATCACGACCCGCTTAGAAAACGTTATGGAGTCTTGGAGACCTCGTCGATGGTCGTTTTCCTTCGACGATCGATTCGTTGCGCGAGAATGTCCGGTTCGCCGATGCAAGAGTCGAAACGCGCAACGAGGGAACGATCGGAACGAAACACGGAACGGGGATTTAACCTTATAGGTACGGCTGAATTCTGCGCGAGGCTATTTCTCTGGACGGCAGAGTCTGATACCTGTCTCTTATACACATCTAGATGTGTATAAGAGACAGCTGTTTTTCGTTGATAACTCGTTAACGGTGCCTCGGAGAAAATTTTTGTAAAGGAAGAAGTTGCTTCAAATGATCCGAGGAACCCGCCATTTCCGGATTGCGAGACATTTTTGGGACACCCTGTAGACTGTTGTAAATCTGTCTCTTATACACATCTAGATGTGTATAAGAGACAGCTGTTTTTCGTTGATAACTCGTTAACGGTGCCTCGGAGAAAATTTTTGTAAAGGAAGAAGTTGCTTCAAATGATCCGAGGAACCCGCCATTTCCGGATTGCGAGACATTTTTGGGACACCCTGTAGACTGTTGTAAATCTGTCTCTTATACACATCTAGATGTGTATAAGAGACAGCTGTTTTTCGTTGATAACTCGTTAACGGTGCCTCGGAGAAAATTTTTGTAAAGGAAGAAGTTGCTTCAAATGATCCGAGGAACCCGCCATTTCCGGATTGCGAGACATTTTTGGGACACCCTGTAGACTGTTGTAAATCTGTCTCTTATACACATCTAGATGTGTATAAGAGACAGCTGTTTTTCGTTGATAACTCGTTAACGGTGCCTCGGAGAAAATTTTTGTAAAGGAAGAAGTTGCTTCAAATGATCCGAGGAACCCGCCATTTCCGGATTGCGAGACATTTTTGGGACACCCTGTAGACTGTTGTAAATCGATGTGAAGACAAAAGAAGTGTGAAACAATACATATGAAGACGATTATTTGGTTCAAACGATGAGCGAGTGAGCTACTAGAGTGGCGCGTCGTGCCTAAAAGGTTAAGAGAGAAAAAAGAAGAAGCGATCCGTTGCAGTTGGTTTTTTTGCTTGCTTTGGTTGTTGCATGTTTGACGTTGTTTGCGTGCCCTGCACGAGGATGCTTGGCTCGATGTCTCCACGCTTGGAACCGAACTTTTCACCCGCTGAATATTACACATCCTCCGCGACTCCGTGTCTCGAGCATGCCGAGGTGTGCCACCCCCTCCTCCCTATGCTCGATGCTATCCTAAGAATTTGCGATTGCTACAATTCTGCGCCGTGCCACGTTAACCGTATCTTCGGTTTGCTGTGCGAGAAACTGCATAAGCGAGCGACGCCAGTGCAACCGAGAGCGTCGTTCCTTTCCTGTCGTCGCGCGCTATCCTAACAACTGCTTTTTTTTGCGATTGCTATTCCCGCCATGCGACGTTAGCTAACCGTTAACCATGTTTTTTATGCCGTGCAAGAAATTGCAGTTCGGCAAGCGACCGACACCGGGACAACTGGAAATTGTCGGCCACCGCGACGACCGACGACGACGAGTCGTCCAATTTCGCTCTTACAGTTTAATTGTCCCGCCGCTCTTTGCAGTTGACGGAGAACAGAGAGCCGCGCGCTTATTACACGCAATTAGTACCAGGACGGTTTCCGTTCTGGCGACCCCTCGTACGACGTACAACTTTTCCAGCCGCTGCGGTTAATCCAGTTACGCGGGGCTAAATGATCATTAATTGCGATTAACATCGACGCGTCGCCGCGAATCGTCTGCGCTTTGTGCAGCATCTAAGAACGCTTTTTCCCCGCCGATCGCGTCGCAAAAGAACAGCGTTCGAATGACACGGTATTCGAATTCTCCCTAATTAATTGATGGCTCAGATTGTGCATAAAAAAAGGACGATTTGGGGATGCGATTTCTCGAGTCTCGCAGCTCGTTTTTACAGTGGTTGACCATCGGTGACTTTAAAAAAGCGTTTCAATCACAGTACAGTAATGTCTCTCTAATTGACGCACAGATTGTCCAGGAAAATGGACAATTTGGGAAGAGGAGATACGATTAGTCGAATCTTGCGGCTCGTTATTATAGTTATGAATTGTCAACAACTATCAAAAGGAGCCGCGAGGCTCGAACAATCGTATCTCCTTCCTCAAATTCTCCATTTGGGGACAATTTGGGAAGAGGAGATACGATTAGTCGAATCTTGCGGCTCGTTATTATAGTTATGAATTGCCAACAACTATAAAAAGGAGCCGTGAAGCTCGAACAATGATATGTCCTCCCCCAAATTCTCCATCTGGGGACAATTTGGGAAGAGGAGATACGATTAGTCGAATCTTGCGGCTCGTTTTTACAGTTACGAATTGCCAACAACTATAAAAAGGAGCCGTGAAGCTCGAACAATGATATGTCCTCCCCCAAATTCTCCATCTGGGGACAATTTGGGAAGAGGAGATACGATTAGTCGAATCTTGCGGCTCGTTTTGTATAGTTACGAATTGTCAACAACTATCAAAAGGAGCCGCGAAGCTCGAACAATGATATCTCCTCCTTCCAAATTCTCCATTTTTTAGTAGAATCTGAGTGTAGAATCTTCTGTAGAATCTTTTGTAGAATCTTGTGTAGAATCTTAGGGAGAATTTACCGTAATCGCTTGCGAACCAGACGCTTTTCTGTGACGTAATCCGCCATTCCGTGGCTTCTCATTAGCACTCGGTTTACCGTTAAACAGGCATAGCTACTGTTTGCCGGTGGTTCTTATCAAAGGGGCCACGAGTGTTTCCGTAAACACAGGTGTAAAAATTTCTTGGAAATACATCGGTTGGCTCTCCGAGCGGCTCGGATTAACCCCTTGCCGTATTTTGGCGAGTCCGACTCGTCATGAAAATTTCTGATAATAATTAATTGAGTATAGATGTTATTCTGTCCTTTGGAATTGGAATAAAATTCTAATCTCTTGTCATCAATATTTAAGCATTCGAGTAAATTTAGGCACACGATAAGCATCAATTTTCTTTCCCTTCTAAGAAATTATTGCAATTGAACAATTTCTAATCATAGTAACTGCGAAGAAGACGGTATGTCAAGGGGTTAATAAACACCGTCGAACACTTACTACGGCGTCGTTTCGTCGGCGAATAAAATTGAACCGCGCAGGTTCCATCGTCGACCCCGACGGAAACGTTAAATCGGCGATCATGCTACTAGCTAGCGCGCGATTCACGCTTGCCGCTGTAAATTATAGAAGCGTCGCGAGTTTTATCGGAGACGACAACGGTGAAACGCGCGAGTTGTTATGGCCGGCTCTGTTTGCATTTCGCTCGTCGAGATAATACGCCGATCTCTGTGCTAGCATTGTCGCGCGTTCGAATGATAACCGTCGCCTGGACTCCGATGATAAAACTCTCTCTGTTCGAAGATAAGGCGGCTATGCCCCCCTCGGGAATCGCGAGGAAACATTTCGGCTCGATTCCGCGGAAAATCGAACGAGAGAAATCGCGCGAGATACGCGAGCGAATTGCGAGCCGAGCCGAGGAAAGAGAAAAATCTGTTGTACGTAACGATTCTTCTGCTAGTTGTTGGCTAATTAGCGGCCGTTCGATTACGCTCTGCTCTCCCGATTAATCGATTAACCGTGCCAGCTCGAGCTAACGAAAATCGAGGTAGAAGTATATCGAAGCGACGCCTCGAAATCGCTGACCAGCAGCTCCCAGTTGCTTGTGCGGCGATTTCTACTGGATCCGGGATTTGATAAATGATCGTCGTTCGTCCTTTGTAACACAGATATCCATATTAGAGTACTGACGGTCGACGACGTACCCTTGTCGCTGGAATGCGCGAACAAAAGCTCCGGCTCGAAGGTCACTTGGACGAAGGAGAATAAGTCGATCGTCTCGGCCCTGGCCGGCAGCGAGAACCTCTACAAGATCGACAACGAGANATTGCCAACAACTATAAAAAGGAGCCGCGAAGCTCGAACAATGATATGTCCTCCCCCAAATTCTCCATCTGGGGACAATTTGGGAAGAGGAGATACGATTAGTCGAATCTTGCGGCTCGTTTTTACAGTTTCGAATTGTCAACAACTATAAAAAGGAGCCACGAAGCTCGAACTATCGTATCTCCTCCCCCAAATTCTCCATTTGGGGACAATTTGGGAAGAGGAGATACGATTAGTCGAATCTTGCGGCTCGTTTTGTATAGTTACGAATTGTCAACAACTATCAAAAGGAGCCGCGAAGCTCGAACAATGATATCTCCTCCTTCCAAATTCTCCATTTTTTAGTAGAATCTGAGTGTAGAATCTTCTGTAGAATCTTTTGTAGAATCTTGTGTAGAATCTTAGGGAGAATTTACCGTAATCGCTTGCGAACCAGACGCTTTTCTGTGACGTAATCCGCCATTCCGTGGCTTCTCATTAGCACTCGGTTTACCGTTAAACAGGCATAGCTACTGTTTGCCGGTGGTTCTTATCAAAGGGGCCACGAGTGTTTCCGTAAACACAGGTGTAAAAATTTCTTGGAAATACATCGGTTGGCTCTCCGAGCGGCTCGGATTAACCCCTTGCCGTATTTTGGCGAGTCCGACTCGTCATGAAAATTTCTGATAATAATTAATTGAGTATAGATGTTATTCTGTCCTTTGGAATTGGAATAAAATTCTAATCTCTTGTCATCAATATTTAAGCATTCGAGTAAATTTAGGCACACGATAAGCATCAATTTTCTTTCCCTTCTAAGAAATTATTGCAATTGAACAATTTCTAATCATAGTAACTGCGAAGAAGACGGTATGTCAAGGGGTTAATAAACACCGTCGAACACTTACTACGGCGTCGTTTCGTCGGCGAATAAAATTGAACCGCGCAGGTTCCATCGTCGACCCCGACGGAAACGTTAAATCGGCGATCATGCTACTAGCTAGCGCGCGATTCACGCTTGCCGCTGTAAATTATAGAAGCGTCGCGAGTTTTATCGGAGACGACAACGGTGAAACGCGCGAGTTGTTATGGCCGGCTCTGTTTGCATTTCGCTCGTCGAGATAATACGCCGATCTCTGTGCTAGCATTGTCGCGCGTTCGAATGATAACCGTCGCCTGGACTCCGATGATAAAACTCTCTCTGTTCGAAGATAAGGCGGCTATGCCCCCCTCGGGAATCGCGAGGAAACATTTCGGCTCGATTCCGCGGAAAATCGAACGAGAGAAATCGCGCGAGATACGCGAGCGAATTGCGAGCCGAGCCGAGGAAAGAGAAAAATCTGTTGTACGTAACGATTCTTCTGCTAGTTGTTGGCTAATTAGCGGCCGTTCGATTACGCTCTGCTCTCCCGATTAATCGATTAACCGTGCCAGCTCGAGCTAACGAAAATCGAGGTAGAAGTATATCGAAGCGACGCCTCGAAATCGCTGACCAGCAGCTCCCAGTTGCTTGTGCGGCGATTTCTACTGGATCCGGGATTTGATAAATGATCGTCGTTCGTCCTTTGTAACACAGATATCCATATTAGAGTACTGACGGTCGACGACGTACCCTTGTCGCTGGAATGCGCGAACAAAAGCTCCGGCTCGAAGGTCACTTGGACGAAGGAGAATAAGTCGATCGTCTCGGCCCTGGCCGGCAGCGAGAACCTCTACAAGATCGACAACGAGACCGGCACTTTGGAGCTGCAGAAGTTCGGGACCGTGTTGCTCGGCAATTATACGTGCAAGGCGCAAAATGCCTCCATAGAGTACAGGATCGTACGTGAGTATCGATTATCTTTCAGATCGCAAGTACAGATTTTACTGTCGCGTGCCGACGGATTAAAGGTAGAACCACGAATGTAGCGAGTCTACGTAGCGAGAATCATTTTATAAAAGCTAGGATCCGATATATATATGCAATTTATCGGTTAGAAAATCCTGCGTAATATTATAAAATAAATATTATAAATGTTCGCTAAATTCTATTTTCTTTTGCATTTTAAATGTACGAATGCCATCGGTGCACAAAAATCACGGTGCATCGACGGTAAAAGTAGAAACGGTCCTGCTATAATTCGGAGACAGAACTCTATAAGAATTTTTTAATTTAATCAGAAAAAAATTATTAAATTATTAAATTAGAAATTACTTAATATCCTCGAATTCAATATGTAGAGTATATATAATAATATTAATAATTATTAAAAATAATAATATACTCTACAATATATATATATATAATATTAATAATTATTAATAAATATTATTATATATATATTGTAGAGTATATTATTATTTTTAATTTAACCAGAAAAAAAATTATTAAATTATTAAATTAAAAATTACTTAATATCCTCGAATTCAATATGTAGAGTATATTAAGTAATTTTTAATGTAATAGTTTAATAATCTTTTTTCTCGTTAAATTAAAAATTTCTTACAGGGTTCTGTCGCTGAGTTGGCAGGATCGTTCTCCTACTTTTACTGTCGATGCACCGTGATTTTTGTGCACCGATGGCATTCATATACTTAAAATGCAAAAGAAAATAGAATTTAGCGAACATGTATAATATATTTATTTTATAATATTACGTGGGATTTTCTAACCGATAAATTGCATATATATCGGATCCTAGCTTTTATAAAATGATCCATGAAAGGGATTTCGACGGAGATCCACAGTGTACAGTCATTTATTTCGTGTCGTAAAGAATGCACTCGTGAAGCAGAAAGTTACAATTCCAAGTGAAGTAGACGTTTACGATATCGAGATAACGTAGTATCAGTGAACGACAGCTATTCATCCATTATGGATGAACAAAGTTGATGAGTTATTAACGAAAAACGGTGACCAATGAGAGGCGAGCTCCGGTAGCGCGAGACGGCCGAGCCAACTAGCGCACCAACTGGCGCGTGGCGGCCGGGCCAATGAACGGAACTGGACTTCGCGCGCTCGTTGGCTGCGCCGCCTCGCGCTAGCCGAGCTCGCCTCTCATTGGTCACTGTTATTCGTTGATAACTCGTAAACGAAGCCGCGGATCGCATTTTCGTTAAGGAAAAAGTTACTTCAAATGATCTCAGGAACCCCACATTTCCTGGAAGTACCATAATTTGGGACATCCTGTATAATAGTAATATAATAGTATAATAGTTATAATAGTATAATAGTAAAATGGTATAATAAGGGATCGCTCGTCGTTGCAGCAAAGCCCACGGCATCCATGGTCCAGTCCGTCAGCGTGGTGGAAGGTGAGAAGCTGCAGTTAGTATGCTCCGGCAAGCACAGTCCCGGCATCAAGGTGTCATGGACGTTCGGGGATCACGATTACAAGCGGAGCGAAGGACGAGTCAAGATCGGAACGGACCAGGAGAAAGGTATCTACGGGACCTTGCTGATCGTCGACAACATCGAGATGAAGGACCGCGGCAACGTCGTGTGCAGGGTGTCCTACAACTGGTCCGACACCTCCGAGAATCACGTGGCAAAGGCCCAAACATTCCTCAGGGTCAAAGACAAGCTAGCCGCCCTCTGGCCCTTCCTAGGCATTTGCGCGGAGGTCATTGTTCTGTGCACCATCATTTTAGTTTACGAGAAGAAGCGGAACAAGGCTGAGCTCGAGGAATCCGACACCGATCAGAGTCCCGACACGTACGTATCTCATTCGATCCGACGACTGAGCTTCCCGTTAACCCTCTACGATCAGAACTCTGTCCATCTGCACAATATTTATACGGCTCGAAGGCAGCCAATGTCGATCTTCCGATTTAAATTAATGACGAATTCACGATTTAAAAGAACGTTTCGGTATACTGTAATGACTCCCTAATTGACGCTCAGGTTGTCCACAAAAATGGACAATTTGGGAAAAGGAAATACCATTATTCAAGCCTTGCAACTCGTTTTTATTGTTTCAAATTGTCAACAATCATAAAAACGAGCTGCAATACTCGAATAATCGTATCTAATAATAATAAATAAATAATTGATAATAATAATAATAAATAATCGTATCTTCCCAAATTGTCCATTTTTGTCGACAATCTGAGCGTCAGTAAGGGAGACATTACTGTATTCTGATGCGTTGACTACAATGTAGACGTAACAGTGTTGCTACTCTTGCTACGTTGTTGCTAAAATCTTGATTCGATTAAAGAACCTGATAAGTCTGTATGCGACTTCAAGGTTACGTTGAGCTGTAGAGGGTTAAGGATGCTTCTCGCCGAGACTGTAACCAAGTTAGCTTGTTTTCACTATCTGGGTCTTCGTTTCTATATTTCGTATAACATGTCTCTTGGCCATGAAGTCTTGTCGCTCTTCTCTTCAGAATAGCGATTATTAGATTTTACGTTAGAGAGAATAATTATATTTTATAGAATTTTATTTAGCACGAGTATACTCATACAGTTAGCAGGACCATACATACTTATATTTTATAGCATTCGTATTGATATCTAGAGATTTAGAAGAGTCATTAATACTTAAATTGTATAGAACTTAAATTAGTATAAGAATACCAAGGGAATTAGCAGGGCATAATTATATTTTATAGAACTTGATTTAGCATAAGAATACCCATAGAGTTAGCAGGATCATACATACTTATATTTTATAGCATTCGTATTGATATCTAGAGATTTAGAAGAGTCATTAATACTTAAATTGTATAGAACTTAAATTAGTATAGGAATACCAAGGGAATTAGCAGGACATAATTATATTTTATAGAACTTGATTTAGCATAAGAATACCCATAGAGTTAGCAGGATCATACATACTTATATTTTATAGCATTCGTATTGATATCTAGAGATTTAGAAGAGTCATT